GGTGTCCTGGTAAATGTACTCAGTCCAGCGTCATGAAGACTAGGGTTCGAGAAGCAACGGGATCGCTACGGCCAAGCCTGGCACGGCATATGCAGAATGCACGTCTGGATCTATTACGTCTCGAGCACATGAAGCAGCACATGCCAAACAGCAAAGCTGCCTGGCTCCTGTAATGCACGCTACAAGAAAACTTTAACCATGTTCTGCTGACGATGCCGTCTGGCTGGTGGGACAGTACAGCACGCCTTAACATAGATACATCTATACATAGACAAGACTCACATCGAACACATAGTCAGTACCAGCATGTGTATTCGTGCATGTGATCACTAACTATCGCATACCACATGCCCCGTATTTAGCTAAACAACATACCATCGCAATGTAACCTCGATGAATTGCTGGCCATTGACATGCAGAATATGTTTGCGAATCTGAGTCACGCCGCGTAGCAAGCACACAAAAGCTCGTGCCAGAATCAACGAGCAACACTGCTGCAGCTTCAACGATTTCTGCTACCAGGGCTTGCCTACCTCCGTATCTTCACGCCGGATTCCTGAGGCTGCGGCTTTTTCCTGAAGTGATCCTGCAATCCAAAAGCATGAAGGACAGGCAGTGGCAAAAGGCCAAAGTGCGCCGCCATGCGCATGGGGTCAAAAACCTCATAGCCATGACCAACTAGCCCAAGTGCCTGCTGAATATACGCAGTGTCACGGCAAGGACCCTTCATGGGTAATGTTGTTTTTTACTCCCAAGCTGGGCCTGCCAATAACTCCTGCAACGCATGGGTGTGGCTCAAAATTACACCAGCCTCGACCCCGAACAGCAAAAAAAACATGACAGGTCGGTTTAACAAAAAAAGGCTTGTCTCCTTCATGTAAGTGTAGCTTATGTGAGCAACACATAGTTACAATCAGTCCATGTATGTTTTTGTAGGAAGTCCCCTTTTTTGGGAAGAGGACACACCGGGTCCATCCATCTCCTTGACGCCGGGCAAAAGCATCGAATGTCAATGCCATGTTCGAGAGTGAAGGCTCCGGGGATTCGGGGTGAATCAACCTAATACCTGGCAGTAATCAAAGGAAGTTTCGAAGGAACTTTCGTAGTACGGACACTCAATGCACTTTTCCATGACCGCAGCATTTGGTGGCCGTCCTGCTACTCTGCTGAAACTTGCGCATCAGTCTCAGCAGCTTGCGGCCGAGACTGGACACATGCCACTTGTGGTTGCTAGCTTCTTCTCGAGCTCGGCTAAAGGTCTTGCCACCAGCAAAGCAAGAGAGCACTTGCATAAACTTGCAGACTGCGCCTTGTAGCGTTATGGCCGGGACATCCTCGCCTAGCAACGCAGGCACACGCCGCGCCAAATTGGCAAGCGTCAGCAAAGGTGCCCTCCCAAGATGGCCAACGCATGGCTTTTGCTCCATGCGCCCAACGCCGCTCCATTCTGGAACAAGCTGAACTTTGCCCCAACTTACCAATGCTGGCTGCAGTGGACACCACCAGCTTGGCCGGGTTCATCTTGGAGTTGGTGCTTATGGTTCGCAGATTGGTGTTCACATGTGTGTTGAACGACCGGCGGCCGTCATTCCAATGCACGCCGCTGGCAACAACTTCTGGGCCTTGCGTTCACTCAGCTCCAGCAGCACTGAATCAACTGGCCGGATTCGTGATCTGTTTCCAAGTTGTCAAGGTCAGCGAAGTAGGTTGCCAGGAAAAGGCTCCTATGCATCAACCAAGATTTTCGAGGAGAACTCGACAAGTGCAGGGACGATGCGAACAACTCTTACGAGCTAGTGGTTTGGTTGGGGACCCGGCTCACCCAGGCTTTACTTCTAGGACAACAACCGGTCAGAAAAACCTTGGAGCTCGGAAACCCCCCCTAACGATGTAACAAGATGATACGTACGCCTGCTTGACTGTGTGTTCGCTCGTCCCTCTCTGCGACAGGACCAGATCTCCAAGAGCAAGTAACCAGCCAGGAAGCCCCTCTGCGATTGGCGAAACGGCTCTTGTTGATGGGACCCCAAAAAAGAAACCATCAAACACGGCGGCGGCGGCGTTAGCAACTCTTATTAGGTTATACAGCCACCGAACATGTGTCGAAAAATGGCCATGCCCGTGTGTCCTTGTTGCAATCACCGCATTACCACATTGAGCACCAGAGCCGCCATTCCGTAATGTTGCTGGGGAGCTCGCCACGCACGCAGAGTGTCCAGCAGCACCGAAACCTTCTGCTTGAACGGGTCGGAATTGATGTTCAAGGCGTAGTGGAGGCGAAGCTGTGTCGTCAAAGAAGAAATGGATGGGCCATGTCTGTAGCACGTGTTGCTTCGGTGAGCGGTGGTCTTGATGCTATCAGCACATCCCTCCAGCTTGGTTTCCCGACAAGCCACATATGCTGCAAGCAAGTAAATCAGAATCTCGCCCGGAGCTGCCAAATTCAAGTCGAGATCTTGGAAAAGAACGTTGATTGCGAGAATGAATGGAATTGCTCGGATTTCCAAAAATACTCACTGCGGGAGGCTAGCACAAGCGCCATGCAATACAGCTCACGTTGAACCTCTTTGGTGTTCCATGCGTCCAGAGACTGTAGGGAAGCTAGCGCCTCAGAGAATGGCGCCTTACGACGTCCCGCCATGAAAACCCTTGAGCCCTCGCACTTGCAAGCCCTGGGGCCATATTGCGGAATATGTGGAAATCAAGGCTGAGATCTTCAACCCTTCTGTCAGGAGGCAACGAGATATGTCAAAGCTGCGACCTTGGCATCACGAAGGTGTGAAATGCTTCAGCAAAATGCGTTTGTCAGTGGGACTGGATTGCATAGGTTGCAATGAGGAAAAAGCGTCGCAGGACCAGCTAGCGAAGCGAAAGACTGGATATGATTTTGGCCGGGCCGCATGGCTATCCAACTGAGAAGGTGCTAAATACTGGCAACAAGGTAGGAGGCAAGGTTTACAACAGCACTGCCAACAAGAAAGGGTGCTCAAACTACAGTGATGCTACCAAGGGGAGACTAGAAGATGGGTGGTCCGAAAGCATGAACAGCGCACGGCGCCAAGTAATCCTAGCAAGTTCTCTGCGCAAGTTCCTCTGAGCAAGTTGTTGGCGCGAGTTCCTTTGAGCAAGTTTCAGCAAGTTTCTCTGAACAAGTTTCAATGAGCAAGTTGTCTGAGCAAGCTCTCTGGGTGCAGCGCTTGCCGCAACACAATGCAACTTCCTAGTGCAACTCACTACTGCAACTTGCTAGCGCCAGGGCCACTTGCTGGTGCTACTTGCTAGTGCCACTGGCTAGCGCTACTGGCTCGTGCATCTCGCTAGCGCTATCTTGCTCGTGCTACTGGCTTGCGCCAGCGCAGCTCGCAGTGCTACTTTACTTGCTTGCGAGACTTGCTGGTGTCATCCGCTGGAGGTCTTTCCTGCAGCGCTCCTGCATCCCTAGCATCATCAGTCGCCTCTGCTGATGCGCCACAAGGATGCAAACCAGTCAGTTAAGGCCACTTGGCTGGGCTCTGCTGATGCGCCACAAGGATGCAAACCAGTCAGTTAAAGGCAACTTGGCTGGGCCCTGCTGATGCGCCACAAGGATGCAAACCAGTCAGTTAAGGCCACTTGGCTCGACTCTGCTGATGCGCCACAAGGATGCAAACCAGTCAGTTAAAGGCCACTTGGCTGGGCTCTGCTGATGCGCCACAAGGATGCAAACCAGTCAGTTAAGGCCACTTGGCTGGGCTCTGCTGATGCGCCACAAGAGCATGCAAACCAGTCAGTTTTGGCCACTTGGCCGGGCTTTGCTTTGCGCCACAAGGATGCAAAGCAGTCAGAAAAAAAGGGCCTCTTGGCTGGGCTCGCCACAAGGATGCTCTCCTGATGCGCCACAAGGATGCAAACCGGTCAGTTATAGCCACTTGGGTGGGCTCTACTGATGCGCCACAAGGATGCCAATCAGTTATCTCTTATTCTGAATCATGAACTCTTCAGTCGGCTGCGGCTGAGGCGGCTGCGGCTTGATGCGCCAGTGCCACTGGCCCGTCCGACACATCAGCCCCACAATTAGAACATTTTCCGCAGTGCGCATGATGCTGCTTTCGAATTGCGATTTGTTTGGGCAGTGGAAAAATTCGCTGACACTGCAAAGGTTCAGGGCGTTGCGGCCACTTGGCTGGGCTGATGCGCCACAAGGATGCAAACCAGACAGTTAAGGACTCTGCTGACGCGCCACAAGGATGCATCAGTTACGGCCACTGGCTGGGCTCGGCTGATGCGCCACAAGGATGCAAACTTGGCTGGGCTCTGCTGCTGCTGCACAAGGATGCAAACCAGTCAGTTAAGGCCACTTGGCTGGGCTCTGCTGATGCGCCACAAGGATGCAAACCAGTCAGTTAAGGCCACTGGGCTGGACTCTGCTGATGCGCCACAAGGATGCAAACCAGTCAGTTAAAGGCAACTTGGCTGGGCCCTGCTGATGCGCCACAAGGATGCAAACCAGTCGGTTAAGGCCACTTGGCTGGGCTCTGCTGATGCGCCACAAGGATGCAAACCAATCATTTACGGCACCTTGGCTGGGCTCTGCTGATGCGCCACAAGGATGCAAACCAGTCAGTTAAGGCCACTTGGCTGGGCTCTGCTGATGCGCCACAAGAGCATGCAAACCAGTCAGTTTTGGCCGCTTGGCTGGGCTTTGCTTTGCGCCACAAGGATGCAAACCAGTCAGAAAAACAGGGCCACTTGGCTGGGCTCGCCAAAAGAATGCTCTCCTGATGCGCCACAAGGATGCAAACCGGTCAGTTATAGCCACTTGGGTGGGCTCTGCTGATGCGCCACAAGGATGCAAACCAATCAGTTATCTCTTATTCTGAATCATGAACTCTTCAGTCGGCTGCGGCTGCTGCGGCTTGATGCGCCATCGACGTGGCACTGGCCCGTCCGACACATCAGTCCCACAGTTGGGACATGCTCCGCAGTGCGAATTCATGCTGCTTTCGAATTGCGATTTGTTTGGGCAGTGGAAAATTCGCTGACACTGCAAAGGTTCAGGGCGTTGCGGCCACTCGCCACAAGGATGCATCAGTTACGGCCACTGGCTGGGCTCTGCGGATGCGCTATAAGGATGCAAACTTGGCTTGGCTCTGCTGATGCGCCACAAGGATGCAAACCAGTCAGTTAAGGCCACTTGGCTGGGCTCTGCTGATGCGGCACAAGGATGCAAACCAGTCCGTCTCTTGGCTTGGCTGGGCTCTGCTAAGGATGCAAACCAGTCAGCTAAGGCTACTTGGCTGGGCCCTGCTGATGCGCCACAAGGATGCAAACCAGTCAGTTATCTCTTATTCTGAATCATGAACTCTTCAGTCGGCTGCGGCTGAGGCTGCTGCGGCTTGATGCGCCATCGACGTGGCACTGACCCGTCCGACACATCAGTCCCACAGTTGGGACATGTTCCGCAGGGCAAATTGATGCTGCTTTCGAATTGCGATTTGTTTGGGCGGTGGAAAAATTCGCTGACACTGCAAAGGTTCAGGACGTTGCGGCCACTTGGCTGGGCTGATGCGCCACAAGGATGCAAACCAGTCAGTTAAGGACTCGCCACAAGGATACATCAGTTACGGCCACTGGCTGGGCTCTGCTGATGCGCTATAAGGATGCAAACTTGGCTTGGCTCTGCTGATGCGCCACAAGGATGCAAACCAGTCAGTTACACAAGGATGCAAACCAGCTCTTGGCTGCGCTTTGATGTGTTACAAGGATGTAATCCAGTCAGTTATGGGTGGGCTCTGCTCATGCAGGATGCAAACCAGTCAGTTAAGGCCACTTGGCTGGCTCTGCTGCTGCGCCACAAGGATGCAAACCAGTCAGGTAAGGCCACTTGACTTGGATGGGCTCTGCTGATGCGGCACAAGGATGCAAACCAGTCAGTTACGGCAACTTGGCTGGGCTCTGCTATGCGTCACAGGGATGCAAGCCAGTCAGTTAAGGCCACTTGGCTGGGCTCTGCTGATTGCTGATGCGCCACAAGGATGCAAACCAGTCGGATACGGCCACTTGGATGGTGGGCTCTGATGCGCCACAAGGACGCAAACCAGTCAGTTAAGGCCACTTGGCTGGGCTGTGCTGGTGCGCCACAACAGCCACTTGGCTGGTCTCTGCTGATGCGCCACAAGGGTGCAAACCAGTCAGTTGCCACAAGGATGCAAACCAGTCAGTTACGGCCACTTGGCTGGGCTCTGCTGATACGACACAAGAATGCAAACCTGCACTTGACCAAGAAGCGCGGCACTGGCTTCCAAAAAGCAGCTCAGTTTCCTGAGCAAAGCAATCAGCCGGATGTCGCAGTACATTTGAGACACATTTAAGGCTCCAGGGCTCTGCTGATGTGCGGCGTCTTCTGCGCCTTGCTCTTTGGCGCTTTGGACGGCTTCACGTTGGACTCCTTCGCCTTGGGCTCCTTCAGTTTGGAGGAACTCGCCTTGGGCTGCTGCGCCTCCACAAGGATGCAAACCTGCAGTTGACCAAGAAGTGCGGCACTGGCTTCTAAAAAGCAGCTCAAGCTCTATGTTTCTCGATATAAAACAAATATATAGTGACATCTGGCTGATTGCTTTTTGGAAGCAGTGCCGCGCTTCTTGGCCAAGTGCAAGTTTGCATCCTTGTGGCGCATCAGCTGAGCTCTGTCGAGCCCTCAATGTGTCCATTTTCTGGAAAACAAAGACACTGTAAATCCGGATGATTGCTTTGCTCAGGATTCTGAGCTGCTGTTTGGAAGCCAGCGCCGCACTCTTGGTCAAGTGCAGGTTTGCATCCTTGTGGCGCATCAGCTGAACAAATATCCGGCTGACACTGAGTTGCTTTGTGGAAGCCAGCGCAGCACTTCTTGGCCAAGCGCAGGTTTGCATCCTTGTGGCGCATCAGCAGAGCCCTGTCGAGCCTTAAATTGTGTCCATTTTGTTCTCGATAAACAAATATACATCCGCCTGATTGCTTTGCTCACAATTCTGAGCTGCTTTTTGGAAGCCAGTGCCGCACTTCTTGGTCAAGTGCAGGTTTGCATCCTGAGCCCTGTCGAGCCTTAAATATGTAGGCTCGACATTGCTTGCTTCTAGCTCCAACGATGCTCCACAAGGATGCAAACCAGGCACATCCTTTGCACGCAGGCTAACAGCAAAATCTGCGACATGCCCTTTCCCCGTTGCGAAACATTGTTGCAAGTGGTTCCTGCTGACTTGTCGAATCTATGTTTCGCTTCTCAATTGCGATTGCGAGCTGCTGCCACGTGAGCCGAAGGGAGCCAGGGAGCTGAACGCCGGTTACTGGATGCCAAGCAAGCCAGGGCAGCCTCAAAACTGGGTAAGACGAAACAGGTTTGGTTTTTCCCGGGACCTTCATTTTTCCTGTTGAGGGCTGTAAGCAGGAAAGCAGCCAGCTGGCAGCAAGCAAGCTCAGCCCCAAAACTCGCAAAGAAGAAGCAGCTTCAGTTGGTTTTGCCCGGGACCCTGTTGAGGGCTGTTAGCATTAAACAAACAGCCAGCTGGCAGAAGGTCAGCCCCAAAACTCGCAAAGAAGAAGCAGCTTCAGTTGTTTTGCCCGGGACCATCCTTTACCGCAGAGACAGGGAGAGAAGCGGGAGACACGACCCCAGAGCCAGCGTCACAGCATCTGGCATCTGACCACAGAGACTGCGAGACACAGCAAGACAAGCGGGAGACAAGACCCCGCAGCCAGAGTCACAGCATCTGGCATCCGACCACAAAGACTGGGAGACAAGCGGGAGACACCACCCTGGAGCCAGCGTCACAGCATCTGGCATCTGACAGCAGAGACACAGGCAAACAAGCGGGAAACACCACCCCGGAGCCAGCATCACAGCATCTGGCATCCAGACACAGGGAGACAAGCGGGAGACACGACCCGGAGCCAGACACTGGGAGACACGACCCTGACTGGGAGACACTGGGAGACAAGCGGGAGACACGACCATGGAGTCTGGCATCGGACCGCGGAGAGTGGGAGACACAGGGAGACAAGCGGGAGACACGAACCCAAAGCCAGCGTCACAGCGTCTGGCATGCCGCAGAGACTGGGAGCACGACCCTGGAGCCAGCGTCACAGCATCTGGCATCTGACCGCAGAGACTGGGAGACACAGAGAGACAAGCGGGAGACACGACCCCGGACCCGGCACAGCATCTGGCATCTGACCGCAGAGACTGGGAGACACAGGGAGACAAGCGGGAGACACGACCCTGGAGCCAGCGTCACGGCATCTCGCATCTGACCGGAGAGACTGGGAGACAGGAAGACAAGTGGAAAACACGACCCCGGAACCGGCGTCACACTTTCCCATTCTGTATACCTCAAGTTAGAACCCCAATGCTTTGCTGTTTGGGGAATTAAACAGCAGGGGTTACGCAGGTTTTGGTACATGTTTCCACTTGCCAGGGTTCCATTTTGGTACCGGTTTTCTGAGCCAACACCCGGTAAATAAGGCTATCTCGAGTGATCAACAAAAGCTGCCCTGGGATCCCGATGAAATGGGATGAAGCCTGTTGAATAATATTCAAAAAGTAATGAAAAGAACACCGACTGGATTTAGTGGTCCAACTCCAATTCAGAAAGGATAAAACCACCGGAGGAAGTCGATGTCTTGGAGGAAGTCGATGTACAGCGTGATTTCCTTTCAACTGCCTTTGTTTCGTTTTCCATGCTTTTTAGCGAGTCGCTCTGCATCGGAGACAGAGAGAGAGAGAGAGAGAAAAAACAAAAAGAGGGAAAACTGGAGGTCTGGCTCAGTGAGCATTTCTCGCAGGGAACACAGCCAGTCAGAGACAGGTCGGCGCTCCCGCGCTCCCCGTCCTGCACTGCGCTTGCCTCCACGTCTTCGACGGAAAGCAGCACTGACTCATCCTGGCAATGCGAAATGAAAGCCTTGGCCATTCCGACCAACCAAGAGTTCTTAGAACCTTACCGCAGAAGAGGTTCTATGAAGGGGTCTGAGAATGGGAGACAAAGAGGTAAGCTTCGCCTGACTCACTTCTGCGAAAAGAAAAAGAAAAGAGAAAAAAAGAAACCCTCCAAAGGTGTCCATTGAAAGGATGCATTTGGTGCTTGCCTTCCCCCACTTTGAACAAGGGGCCCACAACGCGTAGAAAACCTGCTTGAGGGCTCGTTCTTATTCTACATTTTCCAGATGCCAAAGGGAATAACATAATACAACAAAGTCGCGATTGGCTGCTGGAGTTTGGAATCAGCTGCTTTCCATTGGGATCAGTTGCAAGCACATTTGCAAAAATCCCGCACGTCTGATTCTTTCGCCACAGCGGTGACCAACGTCTCCTTGGGATCCTGAACATTGGAGTTGTCTAAACTAGGGGCCCTGTTTGGTATCCCCACAAAACACAAGGTAGCACCACATCCTTATTTGAAGTGCAAGGTCTGATGAAGCGAGTCGAACGCAACATAAATGATGTCATGGGCAACACAGAGAAATATGGACAAGTCCCAAAGAAAAGTCCTCTAGGCACTGCTCGATTGCATCGAACACTGTAGCCCGTTCTCACCCCGATCAAAAGTCAACGGGGCAAACATACCCATCAGGCTCTGGTCTGGATCTCTGAGGAAAGCTTTCAGACATGCGTATCAAATATCGCGAACAAGTATGATTGAACAGACACAGTCCTTCCCGAGCTGAGCTATGTTCCAGAATAAGTTCAGAGGCAAAGGTTGAACACATGAGTGGCAAACATTTTGTCGGGAACTTCTAAAACCATCCATTTACAAACGTACTCTGTCCTGAGGGCAGCCAAAAGCCGTCTGTCCGGCTTGGATTATTTGCCTTCTGTTGGTTGGTTTTGATACCCCAGTTTTTTTTTATTGGCATTGTTGTTTTGGCTAACTTCATGCGAAAGACCAACTTCATGCAACTGCCTCGGAAAGCCTGGGCTTCCCAACGACGGACGCTGCAGCACCCATGGGTGAAATGCTGGACTGTGGGCGCACAGGTGGCAAAGCTTGGGGTTGTTGCATCTCTTTCTAAATCTGAGCTTCTGAGCTGTGTCCTGAATCTGGCTTGGGTGAGTTGCCAAGGCTAAGCTGCTCAGTTTGGCGCATTGGGAACGACCGCTCAGATCCCCACACCATTCGCTTACCTGTGAGAAAACCCACAAGGATAAAAATACTCCTGTGCCGACTTGTACTCGGGCAAATGCCACACGCAAAAAATGAGCATGTGAGAGCCAGCGGGAATTTCGAATGTGCCCCGCCGAGATCCAGGACTGAACCTCAGATTGAAACCATGGACGAAGCACGAGAATTTCCCGGGAAAGTAAACGGGTTTCAGCGAGTGCCAGCTTCCTGGTAGATTCCCTTTGACCCTGGTCACATGAACATGGCTAAACAGTGGCCTACGTATCATTTAGAGGGAGGGTGGGCAGGGCAAAGGGCACCATTGACCCGAATGAATCCGCGTTCAAACAGCTTTAAAGAGGCACTCGCAAGGGTGGACATGCTGACCCACAGCAGGCGCATTACCACGATGCCACTCTGCTCTGCTGACGGTATATAGCAACACAAACGGATTGCAATGAAGAAGCACCCACAACATAGTCAAATGTCCGCACCTTGTGACTCAGAAGGGTTCAACTTTAGGACATTTTCCAGTGGATGCCATCCTGTGAAAGGATACATGCCCCACTCTACCAACCGCGGTAGGTTCCATGATTGAACCTTGGCAAACAAGAATCAAAACATGCACAGCACTGCAACTCCAGTGGTAGTAACATAAGTACGGAGTGTTGAATGGATGGGACTGGCTCCCTTTTTCAATCCGACCTGGGCTTCCCTGGGTGAAAGTCAAACAGACACCCCATGTATTTCTGGAGCAGTCAACTTCCCCATTGTCCTTAGAAACCGCCAAAAGAAGGCTGGCTTTGACATACGCGCCCAGAGAAAACAGAGCATCGTTCCGTTCACGGCCACTTTTAGCAAAAGAACCAGCCGAACACCGATGGCAACAGGTGGTGGTAGTCTGCAAGACCACCGAAAGCCCACACACACTGCGCATCAACAAGTGACTCAAGCACTCACACAGCGTTGCTGTCAGATTTTTCATGGTACGCTCCCATGCGCTCACCTGCACTTTCACTTTGTGCAGATTCCATGTGGCACTGGGAATTGAATGCGTGCTGCCTTTTGCTAGACCCAAAACGAACTCTAGGTTTTGAAAATGCAAGACCAACATGAAAATATTCTACTTCATGGGGTGCACTTGCTTCTTGAAAGAATAACCACGTTTACCACAGGCCCATGGCTATCGATAAGCATAGAGCTGTATGTCAAATCCAGAAATCGTGCTTCCACTTCATTGCTTAGCTCAATTCAATCCCAGCGATCAAATGAGTCATATAGCATTGATCAGTTGCCAAGGCAGTTCAGCCGCGCAGGCAATTGCATCTGCAAGGGCAGTGACGGGCAGCACCAGTCGGACATGTATACATCTATGCACCTTAGCCCAGTACAAACGTATGCATACGTGTTAGACAAGCATGTGGACTCATTATACAAATCTCTGTAGTATCATCTATGCGTATATCACATATGCATACATGCCAGCGATATTATCAAACCTGATCCCACCCTACAGCCGTCCACCCAGACTGGTTTGCCTTTCAAACAAGGTTGGTAAGTTTAGCTCCGATATATACATATATATATATATATATATATTTGGCACCAAACAAAAACTGTTTAATGCTACGTATCCTCTTTCACCACGAAGAAAAGTAGCAAACAGCAGTATGCTAATTGCCAAAGCAATTGCCAGTACTATTGCCAGTACTATTGCCAGTGTTTTTTGCTACTGTTGGGTTGATGTTTCAAGGGGAACTATAGGGAGCCATGTGTCATGGATTGTTCCAGGTCCGAGTCCTGAGCACCGAATAAACCATCACCAGGACTTAATGGACCTACTTTCACGGCATGTTGCTTGCTTAATCACACCGTGCAACAGGGTGACCGAGTTCTGTGGTTGGTGTCCTTTTGGTTCATTCGGCGAGGCTCTTTTAGCACTTGTCAGAGCTGATGCCAAGTGCATACCAATGATGCGGCGCAGCCGCTTTTACAAGTCCGCGAACATGTTTGCTTACGCAGTTACTCAACGCACGGGATCTCCAGCAAAAGCTCTGACGTATGTATTTTTTATGGGGTTTGATATATTATGTATGGAACATGTATATATATATATATATATATATTGGTGTTCCTCTTCAGATGATAGTAGAACATCTTCTGACCGCGACCTGAGGGCTTCTTCCACTCAGGACGATTCTAACACTCCGCATTTGCAATTGCCCGGCCAGCCAGCAGGGTGGGAAGCAACAAAACCTCCCATGTGCTGAAGTTGCGGGTATGGTATGAATCGGTCCGACTCCCTTTTGAACGTCGGCCATCAACAATCCCGGTTTACCCTGCGGACTGGATGAAAACGAGACACCTGGCGCGGCGCTATATCGGACATCCTGAGGCAAAATTCCCGCTCAGCAGGATGTCGAGAAGAACACCCTCTTCACTCCATGCAGTCAGTGCTGTGCACTGGTCGAATTATCACAGGGCTTTATATGCTATTCCGCAAATCTGCCCAGTCCAAGCCTCTCGCCCAGAGCCCGAAAATGGAAACATCCGGTTTCTGGGGCATTTGTTTGCATTCTGGGACAACGTGGCCTGGACACGGGCTATTGGAGCAATGAATTGCTGGATGGACATGGAGAGTCGCACATGGCACATGACAATCGATACAGGAACCGTTTTATGCCCTGTGAATATATGTCCTCCCCAAGATACCGCAGGTGCAGAAATGTGCAGCGGACAGTGACAGAAACTAGCACTAAACCATCGCCAAGTGAAACCTCCAGTTGATCACGACTCTTTAACAAACGATAGCAGCGTTTCCATCAGACTGCATACATCTATGTTATCCATGCATGCGTGTATGTGCGTATGCATGTACGGATGTATGCCGGATTATGTCAGTATGTGTGTATGCGTGTATATATGTGCGTGCGTGCGTGCGTTTGTGGTCGGGTGTGTGTGTGTGTGTGGGCATGGAATGGAGCGGAGCGGGGCGGGGCGGAATGGAACGGAATGGCATGTAAAGTAAAGGGATACGATGGAATGCACTGGACTGGAATGGATATATAATTCAAAACCAAGCCATACGTAGCATGCAATGCCATACAATACAATGCAATGCAATGTATGTATTGTACACCATATATGTCACATTCGATCCACATCCTTCGTGGACACTTCTTGGCTCTCTCAGCTGCAAAGGGCTGGATTTCGCCGCATGTTCATCCAGCATGGTGCTACCTTAGCCATCGCTTGCACCAGTTCTGCGTTGTCACTGCCTGCGCAGTCTCAGTGTCTTCCTGACAAATATAAACTGCGTAAAGCTCTCATTATTCTCCCATGATCACCAGGCAATCTCGCGCAACCCCGGGTTTCCGCCGATATAGAGATGTGTGTTTGGTTGGTTGTTCAAGCAAAAGGAAAATCAGAGCATGGATGTGACAGGTGATGACCGTTTGGGGGGCAATGACTTGTGGACCCACAGGGGTATGCCAAGAAAACAAGTCTGCCTTGCGCAAGTGAGCCCAAACGATCACAAACATCACCATCCAAAAGGCAAGCCGATGTGTCCCAACACAGAGGTGGCCCCGCAAAAAGCCTTACCCTACCGTCTGCACGTCCAGCAAACTTCATGTGGGGCCTTGGCTTGTGGGGGCCCTCTGCCCTCCAGAAAAAAACTTGAAGCCACGGGAAAACACAGGAAAAACACAAAAAAAACACCCAGATCCCAAACCTGCCCAAGCGCCCAAAGTCGACGCTGGCTCAGCGCGTCTCAAGAACATGCCGACGCCATTTACTCTTGTACTGATGACTGCAACATCTAAACATCCGAACGTAAGCTGAGCGCCCACAAGCTCCCACATGCACACTCGTGGAGAACGCACGCAACACTTCCACCCACAAGACCCGCAAAAGAGCGCCCACAAGCGCACACATGCGCCCATGAAAGGCATTAAACACTGCCGCCCAACAAGCGCCCACATGCGCATGAAGGCGACCCCGAAAAACGCCGCCGAGAAGCAGCCGCAAGTGCCAGTATACCCGCACCGCCGACTGAAAGTGTCCATGGCAGCTAAAACCGTCCACACAAGGGCGCAAACCGCCCGCAAAAACAGTTCAGCCCCACATGCGCCCTCATACCATGACTGGAGCGCCCGCAACGCTACCGCCCACACCGCCAAGACTTCCACCCGCATGCGTTCATGACCCGCCCAGACTGACTGGCGCCCACAAGCGCCCACAACCTCACGTGCGCTCAAAGCACCCATCAAAGAGGCACTTCTTCCAAGCGCTTGTATGCGTTCACAACCCGCAGCACAACACTTCATCAAGAAAGCACCTGCGCCCACAAGCGCCCACAAGCACTCACCACATCCGCCCAGAAGCGCCCGCATGCGCCCATGCACTCACGCGCCCGCCAGAAAGCCCTGCAGCACTTCCGCCCACAAGCAAGCGCCCACATGCGCCCACATGGAAGCAAACCAAGAGAGAGCCCGCGTGTGCCCACTAGCACCCACAAGCCCATGCCCGCAACACCACCCACCAAGCCAAGAGCTACAAGCCCACACCCGCAACCCCGCCCACAAACAGAGCGCCCACGAGCCCCCCAAACAAGAGCGCCCCAAAAACCGGCGCCCACAAGCGCCCACAAGCGCCCACAATGCCCACAAACCCAGAAAGAGCAACAAAGCAAAAGCGCCCACAAGCCCAGCAAGAGCCCACGAGCGCCCAAAAGTGCCCACAAGGGCCAGCCCAACAAAAGCGCCCACAAGCGCCCACAAGCCCAGCAAAAAGCAAAAGCGCCCACAAGCCCAGCAAGAGCGCGCACAAGCGCCCACAAGCCCAGCAAAAGCTCTTAGCAGCCCACAAAAGCGCCCACAAGCGT